CCGCCGCGCAGGCGGCGGGGACGCTTCTCAGCGGGCTCAGCTGCGGAAGACGGGGAAGGCCGACGTGCGCGCGCACGTGGCACTCTCTGCCTCAGGTCCGGGGACTTTCCCCTAGGCGGAAAGGAAAGGAACCAGTCCCCCGTGTGTAGCCTAGGAAACAGGCCTTCAGCACGAACTGGGGGCTTATGCACTGCTCTGTCGTTTTATAGGTCTCCGAAGAATCTTGTCTTTTGGTGAGGGCGAGAAAGCTGATGACGTGAGATCTAAAAATAAATCACCTTTACGCATAATTTTCTAAGACTGTAGGCTTCTGAACGCACTCAGGCTAATAGAATAGCCAAATAGATGAGAAAAAACTAATTTTATAAAGCCAGACTGAGACGGGCTTATGCAAAACACTTTGACCCGCCCCACACTGAACGGGCGTGGCCTCCCTGAGAGGCCTGGTAGGAGACCCGCTCCGCCGCGCGGCTGCGCGTGCGCGCTGGGGCGGGAGGCCTGCGCTGGGACGCCTCGGCGCTGTGCGGTCCGTCTCTGTGTGCACCAGCAATGGCGGGCGCGGTGTCTCTTTCGGTTGTTTTGGGGCTGCTACTTGGGCTTGCTCTGCCCGGGGTCCTCGGAGACCGCCCCAGTCCTGACCTTTGGGCACACCCAGGTATCAGCGAGGGCTGCTGGGCGGAGGCTGGGACTGCCCACGGGTCCCGGGCCCCGGCTCTGCTGACCCGCCTCTGCCCTCCCTTCGCAGGGGACCCCGCCCAGGTCGGCCTTGGGGCTACGGAACCCCGGCGGCGGCCGCCGCCTAAGGACCAACGTGAGCGGACCCGGGCCGGGGCGCTGCCTTTGGGGGCGCTGTACACCGCGGCCGTCGTGGCTTTTGTGCTGTACAAGTGTTTGCAGGTGCGGGACGGCCGGGGGTGGGGGTGCCCTCACTCTGAATCCACCATGGGGGCGCCTTGGTACCAGCAACTAGTTGCATTATCCCGTCTGTAAAATGGAGACAGGTAGTTCCTTAGCTTTCCAACAGTATGGGGTTATTTTGAGGACCCAGCGAGGTAGGGGAAGTGAAGGGCGCTTGGTGAATTGTAAGTAAGTTATGACCATCACATTCACTCACCCCGCAATCCAATGAAAGGCGATACCTTGCTTGAGGTCACCCAGAGTTGGTAACTGGTGGAGTTGGGGTTTGAACCCAGCCAGTGTCCATACTATAAAAGTGCTGTTTCCGGTGAGGAAAGTTTTAGCACACGGTGTGGCAGCTACAGTGTTACTTGAGTTCAAGACCCTAAGCAGTCTCATTTTTTTTCTTGGGAAGGGGGCCCTGAAAGGTAAGCTGACAGTACATTTTGATGGACTGAAGCTGTTTAAATGAAAAGTAGTATCTCCCAGGACTGTATCTTCAGTCCTGTCATTTACTTGCATTAGGAAATAGGGGGCTGAATCAATTTGGAGATATGAAATTAGGAGAGATAATAATGATCCCAAGTGGACTTGACAGGCTAGGATGAGGGACTGAATTTAATGATGAAATTTAGCAAGGATAGATTAGCAGCAGCATCTATAAAAGAGACAGGCATTTCTGTTGGCTAATAAATTCATTATATGATGTTACATCCTACTTCCCAAATCAATTACAGGGACAAGGTATTGTGCTTTGTCTGCTGATCAGAACGCTTCTGGAGAATCTTATTCTCATTAGGACACTGCTTTAAGAGTATTACATGCTTGCTTAGTAAAGCAACCAGAGAAAACCGTATGAAATGAGCACTGACTGAAAAGATTGAAGATATTAAACCAGAAGACTTGGGGAAGGGGATGGGAATATGGCCATTGTCGTCAAATTCCTGAGGAGCTATCATGTTGAAGACACTTTATTTTGGAAGGCTCTAATCAGCAACATGGAAAGAAGATATATGAAGGACAAATTCTGACTTTTTATATGAACCATGTAACAACCAGAGCTTTATCAGACTGGAAAGAGTTGCTCATTCCTGGAGGGTTTCAGCAGACTCAATGATATATGGGGCATATTGACAAACTGTTTCATGTCCTGGGTGAGGAGCTGGGCTAGAAGTGATTGTGATTCTCTATCTCAAACTATGTTCTTCTCCTTACTGGCTTTGGAGACCGAGGTGATGGAGCAGAACCGTACTGCTGCAGTATTGCCCTTTCCTTCTTCCACAACAGGGGAAAGATGAGGCTGCAGTTCTCCAAAAGGAGGCAGGCAAGAAGGAATCGTTGCAGTCAGGTGGGTTTAGCAGAAGTCTGTGCTTGCTGGGGGGAGATTAGAGGTCAGCAGAAGTAACTATTGCTTCCCTTTTCTCCCTTATCCCCAGAGCAACAGCTGGCTCAGTTGACACAACAGGTGGCACAGACAGAGCAGCACCTGAACAATCTGATGGCCCAGCTGGACCCCCTTTTTGAGCGGTGAGGAGAGCAACGACCCTGTAAATTTGTGGGGAGCTTATGGTAGGTGGGAGGAATGGGGGCATAGATTGGGCAGCCCCTGAGTGAACATTTCTGCAGAGTGACTACTCTGGCTGGAGCCCAGCAGGAGCTTCTGAACATGAAGCTACAGACCGTTCACCAGCTGCTACACGATAGCAAGCCCGACAAGGGTGTGATTCCAGAACCAGGTAAAGGTTTGGGAGGTGAAAGTCTGATGGAGGTGGGGACAAAGTCTCTGAAACTGGAACATGTCTCATCTTTCCCCTCACAGAGGCCAGTCTACCCTTTCCTGAGGACTTATGTATAGAGGAGCTTGAGGAGGAGGCTGGTGACATTCAGGCCTGGAGCACAGAGACACAGAACCTAGCTCCTTCCTGGGAGGTGGAGCAGGGGCTAAGGAGAAGATGCAGCAAGGTTGCGGCAAAGGGCCCCCAGTCATAGTCTGGGCCGGGAAGGAGGGACAACAGCTGAGGGTTTAGTAAAACAAAGTCCATTCTTGTGACTGGATGCTCCTGTGTGCTTTTTCCATCCCAGCTGGTAGCACACACACCCACACTAGGTGCCTAAGGACAACTGGGCCTTCTTGAAAAGCTTCCCTTATTAGGACAAAGAGGCTGCTGTCTAGCGTAAGAGGAGAGAAGATAGAGGGAGCTCCAGTTCTTTTCCTTGTATTACTGAAGTCACCAGTATGCCAGCCTTTAGGGCACAAAAATCCCTCTACTCATATCAAAACTGAGACAGAAGGCTCTTTCAAAAAAAACCCCACAAAAGTTTATTAAAATCCACTGGGAAAATAAATTATAGAAACTATACACAACATAAAAGTAACCACGCTTACGAAGCTGCAAGCTTAACAAACGACTAGCCATAGATACATCACCAAGCTTACCATTCCCAAATCCCCTCATGTCTGTTAGAGAAGCTAGTTTAAACAAGATTCAATTAGGTCAGACTTGGTTTCCTGATTCTTAAGAGCTGGTCACATGATCAAGAGTAGCTTGGTCTTAGGCAAACACAAAATGACCCTCATCAAACCATGGTTCTGTGTTGTGTTTAGTACCGAAAAAGATTCCTTTGCACTCCTGGCTCTAATCCATCCCTGAAGTATCCTGAATTCTGGAATTTTTAAGATTCCTCTAATTCTTCTGGCTGCTGTGGAGAGAAGACAGTTCAGGTACTAACACAAGTACTCTAGTCAGACAAAATCACCCACAGCATTGGGAGGGGAGTCCTGGGCAGATGTAGGACATGAGATAGGATCAGAACTGCTCATTTCTGGGGCTGGCCAATTAGCTTAGTTGGTTAGAGCATAGTGCTGATAACATCAAGGTCTGGGGTTCAATCCCTGTACCAGGCAGCCACCAAAAAAAAAAAATAATAATAACCTCATTTCCAGTTTGTGGGCCTCATCTCAGCACTCTCCCCGAGAAGCACATTTACCTGATAGCTGAAGTCAGACTGAGGTACCAGCGCGACAGCTCCTCCTGGTCTGTGGACATAAGCAGTAGCTTCTCATGAGGGAAGGACAGCTAGAGAAAGACCACCTCTTAGTTATGGCTCAGAAAGTTCCAGGCTAGGTAATTCAGGGATGAGATGAAAACTAGGTATGAAGTTCAAGCCCCAACTATCCTCTCAATGTAGACAGTTCCATTCCAGTGAAAAGAGACCCAGGAGCTAACAAGGAGCTAAACCAGTCTATAACATTTAAGGTATATTTTTGGCCTCTCCTAACCTTACCTAGGGTTCCCACCTATTACTTACGCTGAGCAATCCACCACAGGGGCCTCCTGAGTGGCCAAAGACCCTGTGGAGTTGACACTGGGCCATGGGGTAGAGGGCCCTGCAGACAAAGGTGCCACTCTGCAGCAGGTGCAATGGAGGTCGAGGCTTGGCCATGAGAAGCACATCAGAGAAGAGGAAGAACATACGGGGCTGAGGCTCCCCACGGGGAGGCACCACCAACAGCCAGCCCTGGCGTAGGAACCACCGCCCTGGGGGAATGGGAGAGCTGTCACTCTGGGCAGCTCCAGGATCCATGGGAATAGAAGGAAAAGCAGGCTGAGAAAACGGGGTGTGCTGGCTCTATAGAGAAAAAAGGGTAAGAAAGCAGCAGTTGAGGATTGAGGGGGAAGTACACATCCTACCTGAGGTAAGCCCCTTTGCCTGGCGTCCACTGAGCAGAGCCTGGACACGCCGGAGGTGCTGATCGTTCTTCTGTTTCTGACCAATGATGTAGACTCTCTGGGCAGTCTCACTTATAAGCCGGGCAGCCCCTAGAAGAACATTCCCCACCTCACTCCCATCACAGACTTTGGGTGACTGGTGGTGGTGAAAGGCTATTCTGGAGGGGATCAGGGTCAGGGGCTAAGTTCATGAAGAAAAGGCAGAGCAAAAGGGACGCTGTATACATGTCATTGGAAGATAGGAACATACCAGACACTGTTGGAGGTCAGAACCAGAAGGGGAAACTCTGCCTGAGTTACAGAGGAGCAAGAACCTACGTGTGAGCTGTTGGTGGTCAGGGTGGTTGGGACTTGTGTTTTCAGCCAAAGCAACGACGAGATTCTCATACCTAGAAGTGGACAGTGGGAAGTCTATGAGGGGAAGTAGAGCTGGGCAAAATTTCCTCTGCCTGACACGCACATCACCCCTGACCCATACTTCAGTTGCAAGGCCAGGAGAGAACTGCTTCTGGCTGTTGTATCCCCCTCTTTCATCTCAAACTCACACCACATGGCCCTCTTCCATCCCACACTGAAGGGTCAATGGCAAACTGACTGTAGATGAAAGTTAACCCAAGGAGGATGCTACAGACAGCCAAACTATCAGCTAGGCCGGCCCCTCATCTCAACTTTTCTAGACATTCTGTCTCAGGCCCCCTTGCCTCAATGTAAAGTTCTACAGTCCCAATTAAGGGCCTGAGGCTGAAGAACCCTAGGTACTCCAGTGAACTCACATTTACTCTTGCAAAAGGTTTTTAGGAGCAATATGATGCAGGGGAGAGGGAGGGAACTGGGATAGACACCATGGCATCCTGCAAAGCTGAGGGCAGCAGTCAGAAAGACCCGAGATGTTGGTTTGAGTCAAGGAGAGTTCACGCACTGCTGGAGCCGCTGCAGAGGCAGAGGGAGCAGGTCTTGGAGCTGAAGGCCCCCAAACTCAGGGCGGCCTTCCTGAAGCTGCACGAACCTCCGGAAGCGTTTGTTTTTCTTTAGGTTCTCCTGGAGTGAGGGGGAAAGGGCTTGCAGCAGGGAGAGAAGCCTCTCCTTTTATTGCATTTATCTGTGTACATCCCCAGCCTCAGTAAGATGTATGCTACTGTGAGAAACCCTGTCCCTCTACAGCACACAGCTGGACACCCAGAAGGTTCTATAAGTGCAGGAACTTTATGAATGAAGTTTGGGCCTCCAGATAAATAGGTAATGTAAGGGGGCAAGAGAGGAAGAGGGGGCCGATTTGAGGTCATCTCCAGGTTACCTGCAGGGTGGTCCAGGACCTCTCTGCGTTGGCAGCAAAT